CGCCTGCGTGTCTGGGAGCGGCTGACAGCGGAGTGCGGGGCTGTGGGGAGCTGGGTGGTTCCCTAAGCAGATAAGTGAGTTTTGGGGAGGGCTGGCAGGGAGCTTTCCTCTTCCCGGGATGCGTGGGGAGGCGGGCACGGTCAGCAGTGAGGCTGCATGGAAGGGACAGAGAGCTCTGCTGCATCGGGGGCTCCCCTCGCCCCGGCGCAGGCAGTTTGTGCAGCCCCGGCCAGGGATCCGTGGGATGGGATTTGGGGAATGAGCAGCCGGCTGTGCTGAAATCGAGGGGAATGTTGCTTCCGATTTACACAGCGTGGCTGCGTCCAGGGAAGTGACACCTTCACAATTTGCTCCTGTGATGGTGATGTGATTCTGGCTCTCAGGCTGGAGTTTTTTAGCACTTGAAAGCCAAATCCTGTGGGACTGAGCAACTTTTCACTAAATGGAGGGTGAGATTTTCCAAAATGCTGGAGGACTTAGGTGCTGCACTCTGGTATGGCAGCCTTCACTCATTCCTCAAGCACTGCTAATCTGTTGAAATAAACCCCAGGCACACCACACCCCCCAAGAGTCCCCGCGGGAGACCTGCGCACCCCTGGGAGTCCTGAGCACTAGCACCTACTTCCCCATCCCCTCTCCATGCACCAGCTCCAAACTAGTCCTGCTTTGTTGCTGAGATGAGGGAATTCGGCATCCAGCCACCAAAACTGTAAATCTTGGGAGAAAGAGGGAGAGAAGCGTGCTTGGCTCCTTCCTCCTGGCAAGCACAGGCGTGTTCCCTGCAGCACGGGCTCTGGCTCCTCCGCACTCGTGTAAGTGGTCCCGTCGCACACACTAGCCAGCGAGTGGGAGTTCAGAGCGCTCTATGGGGGTGGGGGGGAGACGGGCCAGCGGCTGAAACGAGGCCCACGGCCTCACACCGTGCTCGAGCCCCTGTTTCGGTACATGCCTGCACGCCCCGCCACGATGCCACCGAGCCAAACTGTGCTCCAGCACCACCGGCTCTGCCTTGTGCAGGTTTGCCCAGCCTGGTTTCAAAGGATGCAATTTGCCCTTCCCTCGGAAAAATACCCACCCATTTCTCTGCCTCTGCCACCCCCTGCGCCCTGTGACGCTGCCGCCTGCCACAGCAGGCTGCCGCTCGCCGTCCCGAGCCAGTGCCATCCATGACTGCAAGCCCCAGAGGACTAAAACATCTGGACTGCCATCAGTACATTCCTCACTAATGAGGCTATTTCGGGCTCTCTTGCCTCTGCGGGTTGAGCGTCTGCTCTGCTTTCGGAGCAGAAGGAGCCACCGCGCTCAAGGCTGCGCAAACACAGAGCGAGAAGGGTCTCGTCCCCAAGGACTGCAATCTAACCTGCCGTTAGAGACGATCTTCTGATTCGGGTTTGTAGGTCTGGGATCTCGGCTGCTGTGTCTCTGGATAAATTATCTGACCCGTTCCCCAAAAGCAGAGCGGTGGAGGGCAGCCGGGAGGTGTGGGGGTCACATACTGCACCCGAGCTCCTCCGTGAACGTGGGAGAGCAAAACCACCTTGGCTCCAGTTCTGAAAACAGTGCCAAAAGCAGCTTTTTAAGCACGGGAGAAATATCTGAAACACAAATCAGGGAAAAGAGTAGCCTGCGGGTAATGAAGCCTGTTTTGGCTGGGAGTTGTGGATTAGAAACTGCGGAGGAAGCCCAGAGAGAAGAGCACATCACTCCCGTGCTCCTCAGACACTTCTCTTCTTGGAAAGGTGCATCATCCAAATGGAGTGGGGCTTTGGAAAAACATCTGCTGAGCACGTGCTATATCACGGCAGCTCTGGCGATGGGGGGCCACGCTGCTCCAGGGAGCGCGGGGAGTTCCCGTGAAAGCGCTGGAGGCAAAGCTCCTCTTTACGCCTTCCATCGACCGGAGATGCTGGATAGTGTCTGTCCGGGCCAGGAGGAGAGGAGGTGAGAAAGTGAGGATGTTCACAGCAGAGCCCTTCGGGTTTTGCTGGAGCGATGGCATCACCACCTGAGCCGGGGAATTGCACCGTGCTTCCCATCAAGGGGCTCAAAAGCTGCCCAGCTTCCCCAGCTCAGTCTCCGTACGAGCGTGGCTAGCAGTGGTCACTGCCTAAATATGAGCAGGCGCCACAATAAATTTGAAAAATGTTTTGTGTACCAACAAGATTCGCCACAGGCTGTGCTGGGAATACTGTAAGACTGACGGGTTCTATAAACACTGGGTAAAAAAATGTGGATTTCTCACTTTGAATCTATTCCATGGAATCATTTAAAATTTTTACAATGTTTTAGCTTGAATTTCTAGAATAAAATAATGAGAATTTAGGAGGGAAAGTGGTTTTTATATCACTTTAAGGGGCTCAGATGCTAAGGCACAAGGCAGTGACACACTGAGGACCCTGAAAAGGGTCTAAGCCTCATTTAGCTGTGCCTGCAGCATCACCCCAGCCAGCACATCATGGGCTCTGGTGCCATCGGTCCAGCGTACACGTACACCATCCCCTTCCCCAGGCCAGGTGAATGGAACCACTCTTAAAACAAGCGTTTTCAAACTACACAAAACAACAAGATTTCCTCTGTATGTCTTCTTGTGGATGCAGTTGTTTAACCCCAAGACTTTGCTCTGTCATCACAATTTTAGGGACTCGCTTCCCCTTCTCTACCCTGGCGATTAAGACCATTAGCAACAGAGGATTTGAAAGGGGAAGGGGCGGAAATCCGCGCTGCCATCAGCGAGCCCATGGCTCGCGTGGGGCTGGGAACAGAACAACGGGGAAAAAAAATCCTGTTTTCAAACAACTGTGTAACTAGGGAAAGCAGGAGAGCAATGCATGGTTTGACTCGCATTTTATGGAGAACCTATAGCGTTGCCCCAAACAACACACATGCATATATATATATATATATATATATATAAATACACATACACACAGAGAAATAACTATGTAAATAAGTATTTCCAGCTGAAGGGCTGGGGGAAGGCTCTCCACCTTGAGAGCGTGTCCCCAGCTGGCGGCGAGAGTGGGGCTCAGAGCCCTGCCAGGATCTTGCCCTTTTCCCAGCACAGGGAGCTGTGGACCCAGCGCAGCGGGGCCGCAGCCGGCGGCGGGCGCCGTGCCCGGGAAGGGGGTGCCGCAGCGGGTTGCTGGGCCACACGGCTAATGCAGGGCTGCGGGGGGAACGGGCCTTTCCTCCAGTCTAAAACGCTGTTTGGATCAAAATGCACTGAGAGAGCAGGTTTTGCCTTTTCTGATAAAACTGGTGGAATGGCTAAGCCATTTCAAGCAGAAAAAAATGGAAGGGGAGACATTTAAATTCAGCAGACTTCTAAAACAAGATGTCTAACACATCTTGGAGATATTTACTTACTTTTCCTGACATTTATTTTCCACCAAACCAAGAAGAATTTATAAAATATTTCAGTCCTGTCTGCATTCATGCCCCAAAACCAACTTCATCCAACTTTTTACTTTCAACTCCAAGCCAGATGTCATCACTGATAGAGTCAGGCTGAAATCACTGGAGAAAATCACACTGCCTTCAATGAAACCAAAATCTACCCACTGATGTCAAAAGCCAAAAAAAAACAACCCAGGCTCCCAGCTGGGACATGGCTGTGTCAGGACACAGATACTTTCAGAAATTGCAATCCGTGCTCGTCTCCCGCATGCTGACAGCATATAAAAGGAGCCACCCCTCTGCGCGCTCCTGTGTTGAAGCTACAGAGGATATAGATCTAAACCACCTTTGAGCTACCTTTTTGCCCAAGTTACTGAGTTTTAGACTCTTGGCTTCAGCAGTCCCAGGTCTGGCCCCTTTTTCAGCCTCTTCCAGGGTCCCAAGAGTGGCCGCCGATGCTCTGAGCATGATGATGCTCGGTCCCCTGCAGCTCCCTGCTGAGGGACACAGCAGATGCTGCAAGTCTGCATGGGCTCGAAGAACAACTGGAAGAAGATCATGTGAAACAAATCCATCGGGGGATATTAAATTCAAGGACAGCCCTGTCAGCTCAGGAAGTCCTTGAGATACTAATTGCTGGAAGCTGGGAAAGTGGACTGGGAAAGTATCACAGGGCGCTTGCCTTGCTCTGGTGCTTTTATCTAAGCATCTCCTGTTGGCTCTGTCAGAGGCTGAATTTGGGGCTTGCTGGACTTTGGTCTGAGCCAGCACAGCCATTCCTATGATCCTACACAGCCCAAATTTTCCTTAGTATTTTGCCAAAGTTTTCTCCTTTTTTTTTTTTTTTTCATAGTAGGAATGAGTTTGGTTTTTTTTCTGACTGCTGATGCTGTTTCGGGAATTCTCTCTCCCTCGAGCACAATAATCTGCATTAGTTATGCAATATACCGTTAACATGGTTTTTGGCAAGCTTTCATTTCACCCAAATTCATATCAGACTCCTCCAGGACATTCAATGATTTTTCTTTTCTTAGACAACAAAAACATCCAAGCCTCCTTTCTGAATAGCTTCTTGATAGACTGGCCT